TCCTCCTCCTCCTCCTCCTCCTCCTTCTCGTCCTCTTCCTCTTCCTCCTCCTCTTCCTCCTCCTCCTTCTCCTCCTCCTCCTGCATCGGCGATGCGGCGGGGTCCTCCGACCCCAACTACTCGGACCCCATCTGGGAGGCCCAGAGTTTGGGGCTCCGGGCTCTGGATCGGGGATCTACATGTAGGTCGGGCATGTCCCCTTACAGACGGATCTGGGGCGAAAAGAAAAAGTGCCAAAACATATTCAACAACAGTCAAGACATGTGGAAAGTCGTCCCTGACCTATTTTTCCTATTCTTGAACTTTCCTCCTGTCGAGGGACATGCCCGACTTGAGTCCAGATCAGCGAAAAGAAGAGAATGGTCAAAACATACTCCAAAATAGTCAAACAAATATTGAAAATCGTCCCCGACATATTTTTGCTGCTATCCCTGAACCTTCCTCCTGTAGGGGGACACGCCCGACGTGAGTCCAGATCAGCCGCGAGAGGAGCACTGAGCGCCGAGCGAGAGGCGCACGCCGCCCCGGCGCCTGCGGCCCGGCCCGCGGCCCGGCGGCCGCCCTTAGGCCCCCGAGGGGGGGGGGAGGCCGGCTCAGCAGGGCAGGGTGGCCAGCATGTCCTGCTCGCGGGCGGCAAGCTCGGCGGTGGGCAAACCTCCCTTTAGGAAACCACCTTGTACTGAAAACGGCCTAGGATCCCAACTAGTCACACATGGTCAAACAGTCGGCCGTTTGTCTATGTTTGACTATTTTGGGATATTCCCCCTGCATCGGCGGTGGACAAGCCTCCCTTTAGTCAACCTCCCCTTAGTGAAAACGGCCGTGGGCGGCAAGCGTGGGGGTCCCAAGACCGTGCGGTGACCGACCGCGCGATGACCTCGGAACCCTACTTGGATCGCCGCGGGGGGTGCTAAGTGGATAGGGGGATACGAGTGGATGCTGAGGTCGGTTCTATCCAGCCTAACCCAGCTTAGAAGTGGGTTGCACGTGCCCTAAGTGGCTTAAGGGCGCACAGGTCTCGGCTAAGTGGGCGGAGCCCACTTAGCATGTCCTTCTCGCGGGCGGCAAGCTCGGCGGTGGACAAACCTCCCTTTGGTAAACCACTTTTTTTCCTGAAAACGGCCTAGGACCGAAACCGACGGCCCTGGACCCGCAGAAATGACGGCCGCGACGCCCTCTCGCGGACCGAAAGCGGTCAATTCGCGAATCGACGTGTCAGGGTAGGAGGTCTATCAACCTCCGAAGAACGTGGGCGGCAAACGTGGGGGTCCCAAGACCGTGAGGTGACCGACCGCGCGGTGACGTCGGAACCCCAAGAGACCTCACCGCACGGACCGTCACCACACGGTTTTCTGGGACCCTGGAGGCTCCAGTCGCCCGAGACGCCCTCGGAGAGGGACTCGAGTCCCAAAGCCGTGCGGTGACCCCGGATCCCCACCGACTCACCACACGGTGTGGTCACCGCACCGTTTGGGGGCCCCCGGAAAGCGTAGCCACCTCCACGCCCCCGCGGTCAAGACTCTGGGGCGCGACCCCGCGGCTGCGCGGTTGCACGGGTGCGCTCCGCACGAGGCATGCGCGCGGAGGCGCCCCGTACTCGCGGGGTCGCGGCCCAGGGGCCTGGCCGCGAGGCCGCGGATGCGGATACGGCGGGACCTGGGACAGAAAAACATCCCTCGAGAGCATGAGACCCTCCGCCGGCCTGAACACACAGAGCACCCGAGGGTACCTTCCCCAGGACGCTCAAGCATATCGGCAAGCACGAGGAACCCTTACGCAGGGCACCCTCCCCGACTCGGACTCGGACTCGGCCTGCTTCATGCACCGCGAGGGTGCTGCAGGGTGGGGCCGAAGCGCCCAACAAATGCAAATAACAGTGAAACAAATTCAGCACATAGTGAGACTACAACGGACAATAACGAGACCGTGCCCCCTCCCCGAGCCCCCTCAGCACCCTCCCCGAGCCGACCTCGATCTCACACCCAGGTCCCACCGTGTGCTCTCTTCGCCCCGAGGTCCGTGACCCTGGAGGGCTGGTCCGACAGCGTCTTGAAGGAGCGGTTGCGGAACATGCCGGTGGCCCTGGGCGGCGGCCGCGCGGGTCCAGGGGCAGAGGGCGCCAGAAATGGCACAAGCGTGGGCGTCGCCGCATGGGGGGGGACAAACGTGACTGCCTACCAGACCACCCCAACCCAACCCGACGACCCGAATTTCGGGTTGGGGGGGTAAGGGTTCCACGCGTGTTTTTCGGTGTTCCCCGACCCCCCCCCCACTGGAAATCGACTGTAAATTTGAGCCTTCGGGTTGGGTTGGGGTGGTTTGGTGGGTGGTGAAAATGGCGGGGGGAGAGTGGTGCACTTTTCGAACCCTAAAGGCACCCTTTGGAGCCCGAAAAAAAAATCCTTCAGGGGTCCTACAATGCCATTCTTCTGCAGCCCTCGCTGCCCCCACTAATCGCCCCAGATTACGCGACGACCGACAAGCATAAGCTCTCGGAGCTACGGGCGGACGTGTTGGATTTGCCGCCGCGCTGTTGGTTCTCGACGCGCCCAAATGGACGACGCCGACACCACGGCACACTCAGCAGCGAGCATTGCGTCGTAGGCGGACTTTGCCGTGGTGGCCGAGGCGCCCTCTCAGAGACGTAAGGCCGCGCGTCGGAACAAACGGCGCGGCGACATCTGCGCGGGGCCCCCCTGGCGGCGCCTCTGGCACCGCCCCTGGTGCGCTCCGCGCGCCAGGGAGCGGGGTCCAGCGCAGATTCAAGAAATCCGCGCGGAGCTCCAAAAGTTTACGTTTACGCACTTGCTGCTTCTTATTCATTTTTCTTATTCTTCTTATGATTATAACTATTGGTATTATTACTACTCCTGGAAGGGGGGGCATTTCCTACCAGCGCACATCGGTGGCAATGGAGACTCAACAATCGATCACAGCTCACAGCACGACGCAGAATGCATCAGAGCGCACATAATGAAAAAACTCTGCACTCGCGACCAGGTGGGCAATGCGCAAGGGGATCACCACTGGGGGACATCGCCACGTCCTCCTGGAAGCGCCACTTCCTCGATGAAGTGGCTCCCAAGAGCACTCCGGAACCTTCCACTGGAGGAAAACAAACAAAAAAAACGCCATAAGCATAAACATGTGGCGCTCCGCGCGGATATCTTGGCTCTGCGCCGGACCCCCCTCCCCCCTAAAAAGGCCCGGGGGCACCCGAGTGGGCCCCCACCCCCGTCACCAAGGGGGACCCCCGAGCGTTGGGGTTATGGTTCTGGGTCCCCAGCCACAAAAAACGCCACCCACTGGACACAGTCTCTTGAAGAACTGGTCCCGTGGCGTTCCGCCTCTAAGTATAGGCGCTGAATCATACAAGAGGATATACAGAGGAGGAGATGGAGGGGCGAGGAAGGCAGCGGAGGCGGAGCGCGCGAGGGGCGGCGCCCGAGGCGCCGCTGGGGGAGCCCGGCGCGGATCCAAGAAATCCGCGCGGAGCGCCCGAAGTTTATGGTTATGGCGTGTTGTCTGTTTGTTTATCGTATTCCAGATGGTTATTGTTCCTCTTCTTATGATTAGTATGATTATCCTTCTTCGATCCAAGACGATTGCAAACGTCCGACAACCTCATCGAGCTTCGATCCTGGAGTCTCAATCTCCAGGAAAAACTGGTAACCCCCCTAGCTGGACAAGGCTAGGACGAGGACAACTTCGTTTCAGAGCGTCCCGTAGCGCTCTGGAACGCTCTGAGAAGGCAGCGGCGCCCCAAACATCCTCCAGAGCCGCCAGATCTCAGAGATTCTCGAGTTATCCTCCCCCGATGTTATCCTCGTCCTTCCATTTCCTCGTCCTGGATGAAAATCGATTTCCAGGAGGACCACCTCGAGCCCCGATGTCTGGAGGCCTCCTCGAGCCTCCTCACGAGGACCTCGAGCCTCCTGGAGATCGATGTTATCCTCGTCCTTCGAAGCTCTCTTGGAGGCCTCTTGGGCGCGTCTTGGGCGCATCGGGGCTTCTTGGGGCCTCTTGGCGGCCTCTTGGGGCCTCCTGGGGGCTTCTCGGGCCACAAATATCGAATTTTCGGGTCGTGGTCCCCCGCTTGGGCCCCTCTTGGGGCCGTACTGGGGCCCAGCCGTCTTGAGCGCTTCTTGGGCCCTCTCGGAGCCGACTTTGTCCTCGCCCTTCCATGCATCGAGCTTCGATCCTGGAGCCTCGTCCTGCGAAGCCCGATCCATCATCCTCACCCGATGATGTCCTCGCCCTTCCCCTTCCTCAGCGAGCCTCGATCCCGGAGCCCCGACCTCCAGGAGGGGCCGGTAAAACCCCCCCCCGGCCCCGTTGGCGGTGGCTCCCCGGGGCCTCTGCCCGAAACCAGGGGGGCAAGGCGAGGGCCTGAGGGACAGTCCTGGACGAGGACGACGACGCCGACGAGGACGACGACGCCGCCGCCGCCGTCGCCGCCGACGACGACGACGAGGACGACGACGAGGACGATGACGACGAGGACGACGCGGACGACGACGCTGACGCCGACGCAGACGCCGACGCCGACGTCGACGCCGACGCAGACGACGACGACGACGACGCCGACGACGACGCGACGAAGACAACGACGACGACAACGACGACGACGACGACGACGACGACGACGACGACGACGACGACGGCGAGAACAACGACGACGGCGACGAGGACGAGGACGACGACGAGGACGAGGACGAGGACGGCGACGACGACGACGTCGTTTCGAAAATTCCTGAACGTTTCTGCGGGTTCTCGTCGGGCGACGGCCGTGCGGGGGCTAGCGAAGACTTGCCGGAATAGACTATGGAAGGGGCTTTGGGGGCCAGTTTGGATCGGATGGGTGCCGATGGGCGTCGGAGGCGGGCAAGGGAGGCGGCCCTCTGCGAATAGAGCAAGAAGAAACACCATATACGTACACGTCGGTTGGAAGAAGTGGGTGGAAGCATGAAACAGAAAGGCGTTGAAAATATACTGGGCGTCCGCCCGCCCCCTGAAGAGGAAGGAGGAGGGGGAACCACTCGATCATTGCTGTACGAAGGCGCACAAAGTAGGTTGGAATCAGAGGATCCGACATGACCTGCTCTCAACGACCGCTTGGTACAGTGAGGGCCCGACCCCAAGAAACCTGCCACGAGACGCCCAACCCTGAGACCCCAGGACGTCCACCGAGTCTCGGCGTGGGAGCGTCACCATTCCCGCAGCAAAGCAATCGAAACCCAAGAAACCCAGGGCACCCTAAAGGCAAGCAGGATGCTTCTTGGCATGGGTCTCCACTGTAATGAAGGGGCCCTGGGACACACACACACACACACACACACACAAATAAATAGACACAAATAAAAAGATTCCCCATAGTTTCCCATATGTTCTGGGTTTTTGTCTTCCCCCCCACTTCCCATATTTTCCCATATTTTCTGGGGAGTTGACGCTTACTTGTGTCTGTGTGGCTTTGTTCCCTCCGGATGTGAGTTCTCGGAGGTCCGAGCGCTCGACCCCCCCCCACCCCACCCCCCTGGGCAGCGCCGAAGGCGCCGCCCCTGGCGCGCTCGGCGCGCTCAGGGAGCGGGGTGCAGGTCGAAGAAAGCCGCGCGGGCCCTCGAAGAAGTGCAGGGTTCTCCTCCCCCTCCTTCTCCTCCTCCTCCTCCTCCTCCTCCTCCTCCTCCTTCCTCCTCCTCCTCCTCCTCCTTCCTCTCCTCCTCCTCCTCCTCCTCTCCTCTCTTCCTCCTCCTCCTCCTCCTCCTCCTCCTCCTCCTCCTCCTCCTCCTCCTCTCCTCCTCCTCCTCCTCCTCCTCCTCCTCCTCCTCCTTCCTCCTCCTCCTCCTCCTCCTCCTCCTCCTCCTCCTCCTCCTCCTCCTCCTCCTGCCGCGCGGGCCCTCGAAGAAGTGCAGGGTTCTGCCTTCTGCGAATGAAGACAGCCCACCGCGTAGAGGCCCCCATGCCTTCTGTCGGCGGCGAGCGAGGGGGGGGAAGTGAGAAGGACACGGCCTTCCCCGAAGGCGGCGGAAGGCATCTCAGAAGCCCTCCGACCTTCTGAGAAGTGTTCCGCGCCTTCGGGGAAGGCTCAGGAAGCTTCTCAGAAGGCCGGGGGGACTCCCGAGCCTCTTCTCACTGCCCCCTGGGGCTCGCCGCCGCTTCTGAGAAACCCCCCGTCGGGAGGCTCGAAGGCAGGGCGAGACCCCTGCCTCCTCACAAAGCCCACCCTCGCCCCAGCCTAAGTCGGGCATGACCCAACAAAAGGAAGAATATGCGAGAATAGTCAAACAAACTTCTGGGGACGATGTCTCGATGATGTTTCGACCATGTTTGAACTTTGCTTGACTCTTATTTTACAACATCCGACTGTAGGAGGACATGCCCGACCTAACCCCGGCCCTGTCTGCGCGGCGGCGGCCTCATGTGATCCGTGAAGTCCCTGGTCTTTGCCATGCGCTGGACGACGAGCTTGTGGGCATGCTGGGGGTCGTGGTAGAAGCTGCCGTACGCGGTGTTCGAGCGGTCGTACTTCCCTTTTGAGGCACAAGCGGTCCGCATCGCATCGAGAAAGATCGGATTTCGGATCGGGACTGGCATACAGCGGAGGCCCGTCCACAAGAAGAAACCTGCCACAAGAAATCCAACCCTGAGACCCCAGGACGTCCACTGATTTCTGATGTGGGACATCACGCTTTCCATGGCAAATCCACCGAAACTCAAGAAACCCAGTGCACCCTGGAGGCAAGCAGGGTGCTTCTTGGCAAGGGTCCCCACTGCATCGAAGCGGGCCGCAACGGCACGGAGAGCCAGAGCCGACCCAGAGTCGGCCGCGCCAGGGCATGCGCGAAAAAGCGCCGTGCAGAAATCACCGGGGCCGCGCCGGACCCTCGACATGCCGGTCGATGATCCTCAGAACGTGTGTTGGCGCCAACGTGTGTTTGCCAGCTGAGGCCCCTCAATACGACGAAGGCGATGTAATGATAAACTGCTTGGACTGAACGGAGGTAAACACACAAATGGTTCTACACCCTGCGATATGCTTAAGGAATCATGGGTAAAGAAATTCCGAGTCTCAGAACTTGAATGAAAACCCAAAAGTTCTATCAAAATCTTAGGACTTACATTGAAACATTAAGAATAATCGAGGCTCTGGCCGAAAATTCGAGTCTTCTTAAGCATCGCCAAGGGTGTAACACACGTCCCGAGGATCATCGAGCCAGAACCACCAGAACACCATCGGGCGGGCCGAGGTCGACGCCGAGCCCGAACCCCCCCCCCCCGACCTCCGCCGACGCGATGTGGCGCAAGCCGCAGCCCCAGAAATCCCAGCAGGTTCCCCAGGGGTAGTTTTGTGAGAGGAGCCCAGGGACACACACATCAAATAGACACGAATCCCAGCATTCCCTATATTTCCCTATGGATGCTTAATTCTCGTCTTCGCCCCCACTTCCCATACTTCCTATACTTTCCTTGGAGTCGACGATGAATTGTCTCTGTGTGCTTTCCCCTCCCGAAACTTGTCGTCCTCAGATCCATTGTTGATGGCCCCCCCCCGGGGCCCGATCACCGACCCCGGACGCCGAAGCCAACAGAACACGCTGGGATGGAAGCAGTCGCCTCGCCGGACCCGGACCCCCGACGTCGTGACGGGTTCACCACGTCGACCCAGAGAGGTCCTGGACTGACTACCTACCAGACCACCCCAACCCAACCCGAAAACCCAATTTCGGGTTGGGGGGGGTAAGGGTTCCACATGTGATTTTTCGATGTTTCCCGACCCCCCCCCCACTGGAAATCGAGGGTGAATTTGAACCTGGCGTTTCATCCCGAGTCGTTTCTTGACTCTCCCGAGGCCCGGTGAGGGCCCCCAGAGGCCCCAATAGCGAAACGCCTCCGTCTTGAAGTTTCGCACAACGCGAGGGGCTCGGGGGAGATCTGGGCCGATGTCGGGTCGAGGTGGGCCCCGCCTTGGGGCCCCCGGGTCTCGCCTGGGAGGCGATCGAAATGAATCGGATCGGCGGAAATTGGCAGCCGAGTCGGGAGGAGTCGAATCGGCGGAAAAGTCGGCAGAGCAGTACTGCCTCCGTGGAGAGATCGGAGTCCAGATCGGAATCAAAAGTCGAACCGAATCGGGCTCGGCATCCGCCTAAATCGAATCGAATCGAATCGAAGGACTCGAAACGAATCGAATCGAAGGAATGTCCAAATCGGAATCCAAAGTCGCATCGCATCGGACTCGGACTCCGCCCAACTCGAACCGAGTCGATCCGGAGGAACCGACACGCATCGAAGGAATCGAACAAAAATCGAAGGCAAGCCGAGTCGAAGCTACTCCAGATTTCGTAATAAAAGGGATGGGGTCTCATTTCGGGGGGGGGGTCTCTTCCAGGCTATCTTGGAGGGCCTGGGGGGTCTGGGGACGATGTTTTGGAGGGCTCTCCCACGGGGGAGGTCTGAAATCGCTTGTCTTGGACGGTCCAGACCCCTCCCTTTTATTACGAGGGAGCCGAAACGCATCGAAGGAATCGAAAAAATCACAAAAACCGAAAAAATCGAAGGAATCGAAAAAATCGAAAAAATCGAAAAAAATCAAAAAAATCGAAAAATCGAAGGCAAGCCGAGGGAGCCGAGGCGAGCCCCGTCGAGGCGGGAGCCCCGCCTTGGGGCCCGCGGGTCTCGCCCGGGAGGCCCATGTTCGTCACCGCCACGCGGCCCGCGGAGGCCAGCGGGCTCATGAGGCCGGTGGTGCCCGCGGGCGAGCGGGCGAGGCCCTGGGACGAGCACCTCCGCGCGCGCCCGCCGTGCAGCTCCTCCTCCTCCTCCTCCTCCTCCTCCTCCTCCTCCTCCTCCTCCTCGTCCTCCTCCTCCTCCTCCTCCTCCTCCTCCTCCTCCTCCTCCTCCTCCTCCTCCTCCTCCTCCTACCCTCCTCCTCGGCATCCACGTCCAGGGCCGACGGAGTGCTGCACGAGGGCCAGACCCCAGACATGATCGCGTCGTAAAAAATTCAGGACGGAGATTTTTCGCTATTTTCGGCCCTGGGGGGGGGCTCGCCGGGCCCCAGGGCCGTCAGAAAACGACTCAGGATGAGAAACCGGCCCAGGGGAACCGGGAAAGGGTCGGGACTTCCAGGGAAGCCGTCCTGCAAAAATCCGGATGTCGCATGTCTGGGACGGGAGCGGTGGGCGTGGATATCTTCCCGCCCCCAGGGGCGGCAAGATCAGAGGGAGGGGACTGAGCGGTCCCTCATTGCTCCTGGGTGCGTGGCTGAAGTGGGATTCCGTGGCCCGGATTCTGCGAGTTACCAAACAGTCGTTACCTGTTGAACCCCCAATATGCGCTTTGGCGCTCTGGCCTCGGCGCCGGCTGCAATTCTCATCCACAAGCGTTGCGAGGGACCGCTCAAGTTGGCCACCCAGCAACAACAAGGTATAGGCCAGCATGAGCGGGAGGGGTCGGAGGGGTGGGAGGGGTGGGAGGAGCGGGAGGTTTTGGACGGGTGGGAGGGGTGGGAGGGGTGGGAGGGGTTGGAGGGGTGGGGGGGGGTGGGAGGGGTTGGAGGGGTGGGAGGGGGGGGCGGGGTGGAGAGGTGGGAGTTATCGTTGGTATAGTGTCTGGTATGATGTATGATGTGACATGGTGTGATGAGTGTGATACGAGGAGATGTTTGATATGAGGTAATATTGGATACGAGGCGATGATTGGGTATGACGTGATGCTTGATATGATATGATGTGTGGTATGATACGGCGGATAATAAATATGATACAGGTTTTGGCATGATGTAGCAGACGACGTGCTTTAGTATATGGCATGGTGTGCGATATGATGTGTTTGAAGAGATGATGTCATATATGGCATGTTGTACAATATGAGGTGATGTTCGACGTGCTCTGCTGCTTGGCATAATGTGTGATATAATGTGATGTACGAGGTGTGGTAGTAGATGACATTGTGTGTATGATGTGTGGCATGCGGTGATGGATGGTATCGCATATATGTATGGCATGATGTGTGATAGCATGTGTGGCACGCCGTGGGTGATGATTCGTTAACATGTATGTTCTGGTGCGTGGCATGATGCGATTCATGATACGATATGATGTATCATATGATAGAATACGATGTGGGATAGTATGTGGCTAATTATACGATGTGATGTACGACATGACAGGTGACATGATGTGTTGAATGATGCGCTTAATGATACGATGTGTTGAATGAGATGATGTGAGTAATGCTGTGATATGACGGCCGAAAGGGCCCCCAAAAGCAGCCAAAAGAGGCCCCCAAGAGGCCTCCTCCTCCTCCTCACCCTCCTCTCCCTCACCCCGCATCCTTCCCGGTCCACGGGGCACAAAAAGCATATTACTTCCAATCCTCAGCACGCGTAGACTGATTCCAAACTTCAGTCTGACGGCTTCTGCTCTTCCCAGGTCAAGGCAACTCACCTGGGAGTGTCTGCTGCATGGGTGTTGGTTGGGATAGGCGAAACGTCAATATGTCATCATCATCAGAACCAGCATGATGACCATCATCAGCACCATAAATATCAGCATCACCATCATCATCCTTATCCGCCTCGTCAGCAGCATCGCCATCATCGTTCTAACCAGCATGGCCGTCACAATCAGCATCATCATCAGCAGCATCATCATCATCAGCATCATCATCATCCGCAGAATCAGCATCCTCCTCATCATCATCACCATCACCATCATCAGCAGAATCATCAGCAACAGCATCGTCAGAAACGTGATGACCATGACATTAGTAATGTGAGCCGATGTGGCTACTGATACGATTGGTGTATCGTATGACCTGGTGCGATCCCAGGTACAAGCTGACATTACTGCAAGACCGAATGTGATTACTGATGTACTAAAGCATTAATGTCTGATCTGATGCGATATACGATCTGACAGAATGCATGATATGATTGGATGTGATTCCCGATATAATAAGCAACCCTTTTGTGACCGTGGGGCGACCAAGAAGACCACAAAAGAGGCCCCCTGGGGCAACCAAAACGACTCCAAGAGACACCCTTGACGGCCGAAAGGGCCCTCCAAAACGGCCACAAGAGGCCCCCAAGAGTCCTCCCCCTCCTCCTCCTCACCCTCCTCTTCCTCACCCCGCATCCTCCTCATTCCACAGGACGCTCAAAGCATATCATTTCCACAAAACAAAAAAAAAAGACGCAGTCAGGCACGTGAGGCCCCACACGCCCAACAGCCCCGCATGCCCCACAGCCCCACAGGCCAAACGCAAGCCCCTCAGGCCCCGTAGGCCCACAAGCGTTGTTCCGCTGTTCCGTTGTTCCCCCAGTTTCTCCCCCACCCGTGCACAGGGGGCGCTCGCCCCGCCAAACAACAACAACAACAACAACAACAACAACAACAACCACAACCACAACCACAACCACAACCACAACCACAACCACAAACACAACCACACCCACAATCACAACCACAACCACAACAACAACAACAGCAACAGCAACAGCAGCAGCAGCAGCGCAACAACAGCAACAGCAACAACAACGACGACGACGACGGCAGCAACAACAACAATAACAAGCACAACAACGACACCATCACCAACACCAGCAACAACAAAAAACACCACCACCACCACCACCACAACAACAACAATCATGTTAAGACTGTTCGCTTACCTGCTCGCGTGCCATTCAACACGTATGCCCCAAACCCTCGGTACCCGCCCTCTGCAGCTTCGATCGTACCCGCCGGGGGGTATACCTTCCTGATCTGTCGCGTGTAATTGGCGCAGCCCCTGAAACAGGTGAAGTGAGGTCGGATGAAAGGGGGAGGGAGAAGCATGCAGCACGGGATTAGCAGCAGGAGGGCCAGGAGCAGAAAACGTGTGGCAAAACCAGACGGGCTGATCGGGCAGGTAGACCCTAACGGGCGGGTCGGGAAGGCGGGCCCAAGCGGCCAGGTCGAAAGGCGGGATGCTGAAGCGTGAGTACTGCATGAATCGCGAGGAGAGCTCGAGCGACAGCACGATTCCCAAGTACATCGCGACGAAGGTCTAAAGCAGAAACGTGATTCCTGAGTGTCGAGGGCGCGGCGTCTGAATAAATTGCGAGGCAGTCCCAGGCGAGAGCGAAAATCCTGCTCAACTTGTGAATAGGTCACGAGCGAGAGCGCGAGTTTGGTATAACTTGTGAACAAATATCAAGCCAGAGCAGTTGTTGTTGTAGTTCGGGGCCCAACGGCGCAGCTTGGTGGCACCAAACTTTCCCTGATAGAAAGCCGGGGGGTGGGCACGTCAATTGAAAAAAAATGTGGCTACCGGAGGGGGAAGATCAACAAATGTTCTTATTACAACAACAACAACAACAACAACAACAACAACAGCAGCAGCAACAACAACAACAACAACAACAACCGCAACAGCAACAGCAACAGCAACAGCAACAGCAACAGCAACAGCAACAGCAACAACAACAACAACAGCAACAGCAACAACAACGACGAAGACGACAACGACAACGACAGAACAACGACAACGACAAGGACAAGGACAAGGACAACGACAACGACAATGACAACGACAACGACACGACGACGACAACCACAACGACAACAACAACAACAACAACAACAACAACCACAACAACAACAACAACAACAACAACAACAACAACAACCTCATCAGCAACAACAACAGCAGCAGCAACAACGCTACCGTACGATAATCCCTCACAATTTCCTCCGAGAGGCCCTGGGCAGAGAGGGCCCGAACCTCAGGAACAGGGGGGTCATTCAATTTGGAGTCCCGAAACGGTCCGGTGACAGACCGTGCGGTGACCTCGAAATCCCCCAAGACCTCACCGCTCGGTCCATCAACGCACGGCTTTGGGACCTCGGATGCCCCAGTCGCCCGAGACGTCCTCGGAGAGGGACCCGAGTCCCAAAACCGTGCGGTGACCCCGAATCCCCACCGACTCACCACACGGTGTGGTCACCACCCTTTTGGGGGCCCCCGATTCAGAGCAGTCTTGCCGCTACTTGCGGATGCCAGAACGGCCGTTTCGCCTGAGAATTCATCACCATTTGGCGCCACAGAAGGCTCCTTCACAGCCAAATTGCCGCTACTCGCGGATGCCGGAACGGCCTTTTGGCTCGAGCAGTCTGCGCAATTCAGCACCACGAGGGAATCCTTCAAAGAGGGCATTCTTGCTGCTACTCTCCGATGCCGGAACGGCCGTTCTGCTCGAGGCGTCCTCGCAATTCAGCAGCACAGGGGAATCCGTCAGAGCAGTTCTGCCGCCGCCTGTGAAGGCCCCAGGACGCTCCAGGGATTTGTGTTCGGGTACGCGTCGTTAATCTCTAATCGTGCTCATTTCAAATTGTGCTCGTTTCTAACTGTTCCTGGCCCCCTCGTGGCCAGGAAGAGGCCAAGGATAGGACAGTTAGAAATGAAAAAGACCTTGGACCCCCCAAAAAATCAAAGAATTGTCCAAGAATCTGGCATGAACAGTGTGTAGTGTTTTTCGGCCCTCCCGCCCTGGAAGCACTCTTCCATACTGGGATATGTGTGTTCGGGGAACGCTTTCCGGCCCCTCCGCTCCCTAGAGGCCCCAGGTTCGGGGAGTGGCTGTCGGCCCCCCGCAGGCTTGTTGCCACCGTGGGCGTCGCCCCCACAGGCCTCGTCGCCCCCGGCTCCTAGGGTTCGGATCCTTCGTGCGCGTAACGTGTATTCCTACATACTGCCCCCTCTCCTGAGCCTCGCGTCCCGTGTGCTTTACTAGAAAAACA